ATGTATTACCATATTCTTGTGTATTCATTCATCTGTTGTTGGACATACGGTTTCCACATTTTGGCTATTGTCAACAATGTTTTTATGAACATACACATTATATATATACACACATACACACCCAGAATCTTTGCATCTCTGCTTTCAATGCTTCTGTGTATATATGCAAAAATGGAATTGCTAGATCACATAATCTAAAATTTTCATAAACTGCTGTGCAATTTTGCATTTCCATCCTCAATGCATGAAGATGCCAATTTCAAGTCATCAGCATTTCTTGGTTTATTGATACAGACATGCTAAATGGTAGATGGTAACAAATCACTGTGGTTTTCTTTTGTTTTTTTTTTGGTCTGGTTGTGGGGCCTGAACTCTGGGCCACTTCCGGCTTTTTATTTTCTGCTTATGTGGTGCTGAGGAATCGAACCCAGGGCCTCATGCATGCAAGGCAAGCACTCTACCACTGAGCCACCTTCCCAGCCCTCACTGTGGTTTTCAACAACATTTCCCTGAGGAGTAAGTGATACTGATTTGTACTTATTGTTCATTTCTGTGTCTTCTTTGAAAAGACAGTACTTAGGTCTTTTTTTTTTTTTTTGTCAGTCGTGGGGTTTGAACTCTGGGCCTGAGCACTGTCCCTCAGCTCTTCAGCTCAAGGCCAGCGCTCTACCCCTTGAGCTACAGCGCCACTTCCGGTTTTCTGGTGGTTTATTGGAGATAGGAGTCTCACGGTCTCTCCTGCCCGGGCTGGCTTTGAACCGCGATCCTCAGATCTCAGCCTCCTGAGTAGCTAGGATTACAGGCGTGAGCCACCAGCGCCTGGCAGTACTTAGGTCTTTTGAATTGGAATTTGTTCTTTTTGCTGCTGAGTTTTGAGATTATTATTGATAGCAGTCCTTTTTCATACATGGGACTTGCAATGTCATTCTCTAAGCTGCCTTTTCACTGTTAATAGTAGGTTTTAACTTTGATATAGTCCATTTTTGCTTTCACTGACTGTGTTGTGAATATTATATCCAATACAAGGTCATGAAGATTTTCCTGTTTTGGGTCTTGTGTTCCAGTATTCCTTTTTCTTTGGGTGGCTGTTTTGGGAAACCAAGAGTTGGTCTCTAAGTCATGAGCCTCCTTGAGGTCTCGGCTTCCTGATGCTGGTGTAAAGTGTGTGCCACTCCTCCCAGACTCCAATACTTTTTGGTTTTTTGTAATGTGGTTGGCTAAATCCAATCTTCTCTGCCTAGTTTTCCCAAACTAGTTGTTGGACTGTCTTTTTCAAATCGTTGATCTTGTGCCTACATGCAGAAGGATTTATTTCTGGGTTCTCTATTCTATTCCATCTGTCTGTCTTTATGACACAAGTATAAGGTCTTTCTTACTGTTGTTCTATAGTGCTTTAAAATAAGAATATGTAAGACCCCCAATATTGTTTCAAAATTGATTGGGCTATTTGGCGTCCCTAGAAATTCCATACAAACTTTAGGATTTTTGAATGTTATTTCGTCTTAGCAATATTGCCTACCAATCTATGAACATATATTTCTTTCCTTTGGGAGGGGGTCAGTTTATGCTCTGTTTTTCTCTAGTTTTCAGCATACAAATATTTCATATCCTACTTATTCCTATTTTATTCCCTTAGGCCACTAAAAATATAATTTTTTTGGATTGGTCACTGGTGTATACAACTACTTCATGTTGCAGTTATATCCTATAACTTTGTAGAAATCCTTTATTAATAACAGTTGTAATCGTCTATGGTTTTCTACATATGAAGTCATAGACTATGGATTTTTTTTTTTTTTTTTTTTGGGTCCGGTCGTGGGGCCTGAACTCTGGGCCTGGACGCTGTCCCTCAGCTCTTCAGCTCAAGGCTAGCACTCTACCACTTGAGCCACAGCACCACTTCCGGCTTTTTTCTTTTTGTTTATGTGGTGCTGAGGAATCGAACCCAGGGCCTCATGCATGCAAGGCAAGCACTCTACCACTGAGCCACCTTCCCAGCCTAATATGGATATTTCTTTCCTTCATGCTCTTGATGTGATTTACTTTTCTTGTTTAATTGCGCTAGCTAAGTTCTCCAAAAATATATTGAAAAAAAGAATGTAGAAAGCTGGGCGCTGATGGCTCAGACCTGTAATCCTAGCTACCCTGGCGGCTGAGATCTGAGGATCACAGTTCAAAAATAGCCTGGGTAATTAAACACCAGAAAACCGGAGGAGACACTGTAGCTCAGGTGGAGCACTAGCCTTGAGCTGAAAAGCTCAGGGACAACACCCACGCCCAGAGTTCAAGCCCCACAACTGACCAAAAACATCCCCCAAAATGTAGAGTAGAAATTCATACTTTTCTCCTGACCTGAAATGTCTTTTGATAGGTTTGCTGTGAGTTTTGGCATATATAAACTCGATTACGTTGAGATAATTTGGTAGTTGAATGTTGGAAGGGGTTTACTGACCCAAACATCCCAATAGGTTTGTTCACTGTTTCCTAATGAGTCAGTTCTGCTAGGGTTGTGTTTCTAAAAACTTTACCATTTTCTGTTATCCAATTTGTTTCAGTATACTTATAGCACTTTTATAATTTCTAATAGACATGCTCTTTTAGTAATTCTGAGTCTTCAAATATACATGTTATCAACTACAGATACTTTTGTTCATCTTTCCAAAGTATCAGTTCCTGGTTCCACTGATTTATGCTTTTTCTATTCTCTATTTTACCTTTGCTATAATCTTCATTATTTTTTCTGGTGGCTTCTAAAAATTAGTTCCTTAAAATGTAAGGTTAACTGTTGACCTGGAATCTTTTTCTGTTATAAATTTCTCTCAGAGCACTTTTGTATTAATTCAAGATATCCCAATAAAGTTACACACACTGAAATGTATAAACGACAGAAATTTCTTTTCCTTCTAGTTCTGAAGGCTCCAAGTCTAGTTCAGGGTACCAGCATGACCACTCCACTTTCCCTAGCTTGTAGGTATTCACATCTGACTAGGGGAAGGAGTATTTTATATATATAGTACACAGAAATTTTTCATGGCATCTCATAAACCAGTATCTTTTTCATTTGTCTTAAGGTATTTCCTAATGCCCTGTGATTTTTTTTTCCTCCACTGGTTGATCTGTGTTAACTTACACACATTTGTAAATTCTCCAGCATAACTTATTACCCTAAGAGCGAAGACATTTGCTTGACATCTTTCTAAATCTACTAGACTTATTTTGTGGCCTAACAAACTACCTACCAGGCACCAATGGCTCATGCATATAATCCTAGCTACTCAGGAGATCTGAGGATTGAGTTTCAAAGCCAGCTTGGGCAGGAAGATCTATGAGGTGGTTTATCTCTATAATCAACCAGCAAAAAGCCAGAAGTGGCACTGTGGCTCAAGTAGTAGAGTGTAGCCTTGAGCAAACAAAGCTCTGGGACAGTGCCAAGGCCCTGAGTTGAAGTCCCAGAACCAGCACACATGAAAAAACCCAAACCCTACCTGAGAACCCATTTGCACCTAAAGAAATGGATTTGAAGTTGGGTACAGTGTTCTATGTCTTTTGGAGGGAATGGTTTGTTATGAAGTTCTGATCTTTTACATTTTCTTATTTCTATTTGCTTGTTTATCAAGAAAAGAAAGTGGGGTACTCATCACCTTCTATTTGACTTGTTTATATGAAATTTTTAGGCACATGCTTGCAATTGTTAAATCAGTATGAACATTTTATTTATATACATAATGTTCTCCCTTGTTCCTGAAAGGAGAAAAGTACTCTCTTCTCTCCCTGTTAATTTGCTGGCTTAGGAACCCAGTGCAGTGATAAGCTTGAAATATAAACCTACTATTTCTAAGCTCGTGTTTTTCTTTCTCTAGGAATTTGTAGTTACGGTCTAAATTCTTCAGAACATGCAATTGTTATTCAAAGTCCTTATCCTTAGAAATAATCCTTATTCTGAAACATTTGGCTCCTAAATGTGGAAGCAGTCAGTGGATCTTAGGAGTGTGTGTGTGGCTAATGTGGTAGAGTAGTTGATTAGCAAGGGTTAGGTCCCAAGTTCAAATTCTAGTATCACCAAAAGTCCTTATGTGAGCCAGGCTACCTGGACCTTCCAATAATAGATGTCCATCTGTTTGTGCACTTCCACCACAAAAAAAGGCAATCAGAACACAGAATTCTAAATACAGAAGACAAGGTCATTGGTGCCCACTCCATTTCTTATAAGCAACTATAGGAATGTATCTCCTGGTGACAGTACTTGGGTTGAGGTCTGGTTAAGTCCTAAGTCTGAAACTGACCATCCGATTCTACCAGCACAACTGTCCAAGTTAAAAAAAAAAAAAAAAAAGATCCCTAGTACTTCCTATTCTACCATCTTTTCCTAATGGCACTTAAATTTGAATGTCTTTTGTTGAAAGAGGATATTCCAGAAAGGCCCTGCTGGTCCCAAACTTGCGATCTTCCTGTCTCTAGAATGTGAGATTAAAGGGGTGTATTACCACACCTGCCTGAATAGCTCTCCCCAAACATGCAGACCTTCAACACTGTACACACATTTACGTATAAAACGAAAAATCTTAAAATTGTATTACAAAAACCAAGGAATAGTCAGATAAAGGTAAACTCTGAAAGTACTCTAGGTGGTAAATGACTTGCTAAAGGGAACAGTTCTTTTTAAACTATATACAATGTTAGTGGCTAATAATGTTACTGTTTCATAGTTAAGGAGGACTTACTGTGTTTGAGAGTTTTGTGTATACCTTACAATTTTATCCACTTAAATCTGAAAACAGACTAACATTGGAGGCAGCTTGTGTGGAGGGGTTAGAATATTGTTTTATTGAACATGTAGTTTCCAGCAATGGTCTGGTTACATTTAATTGTTGTAATAATTTAGGCTATTTATTACCAAAAAAGTATTTGTTTTAAAAAAATAAAACAAAAAGCTATGTGGATTTTCTTTTACATTTGGCCAAATCAACAGTGGTCTATGACTGAATCAGAAAAGAGCTAAGTAAGTCAAAATTATTTTCTTCTAGAAATTTATTTTGGATAAAATAGTTGAAGATGATTACAGTAATATATTGTACAAGAAGTCTAGAAAATAACTTACAAGAGTATTTTAAGCACAGGGTCTGACATACTTACAAACATGTTTGCTCCCAAGTATGTCAGTTGGCAGCCTCCTTCCTATGCCCACTCAACAGAGAAGCTTTTGTCATAAAACCATGCTTTTCACATATAATGAACCAAAGCTTCCCTTTGCTTCATCAAAAGCAACTGAGCCACACCTATCTTTCCAGTTCTGCAAATAGGAAGGAACAAACACTTGACTAAATGTAGAAACACTGCCCTCTCAAACATTTATAATTTATGCAGACATAAATTTCCTGCACATATACAGTTCTCTTCAGCAGAGCAACAAGTACATTTTTGTTACTTCCATTGTTTGTTTCAGTTAATAGACCATTCCCATTTTATAAAAAGACTACAATAGTCTAGCCGAACGATGTAAACCAAAAAGGACACTATCTCCTGTCTTTTTTACCAGCTTTCCTCTTCCCTGAGAGTAAGTGCTTGGGTTTCATATCAAATACATGTCTATCTGCTTCTCCTTTCTTCCCCAAGCGATTCATCTTCTTCTGAGCATTCTTCATCATAGTCTTGGCTTTCTTAACCATCTACAAAGGTGAAAACACAAATAATTAAAATCACATTTTCACTGTGTATTTTAACTAGAAGGTACTAGTCTTAATAAAAGACCAGGTCTATTCTGTGCAGACCCGTAAAACTCAGTCACTGGTTTCCCTCAGGCTCACCATAATGCAATGCAATCTATGAAGGACAAGAACATTCTAGACCTACATTACAGAATTATCTAACTCCTTACACCAACTAACACAATAAAATTCAGGCTCATAAGAAAATACCACTCATATCTTTTTTTTTTTTTTTTTTTTGGGGGGGCGGGGGGGTCCGGTCATGGGGCCTGAACTCTGGGCCTGGGTGCTGTCCCTCACCTCTTCAGCTCAAGGCTAGCACTCTACCACTTGAGCCACAGCGCCACCCACTTCCAGCTTTTTTCTTTTTGCTTATGTGGTGCTAAGGAATCGAACCCAGGGCCCTCATGCATGCAAGGCAAGTGCTCTACTACTGAGCCACCTTCCCAGCCCCTCATATCTTCTTGACAAGTGGCAACATTAAGATTTTAGTGGCCAACACTTCGTAGTCTCAGTACTTGGGAGGGTGAGGCAGGAAGACTGTTTGAGGCCAGCCTACACTATATTTGGAGGCGTCATCTCAAAAATACCCAACATTTCCAGATGAAAATGGCATTGTGGGATGAAAAACTAACATCTCCATTAAAAAGACTGCATGCTAGTTCACACACCTACGGATACACACACACACACACACTCATTCTCCTATATCCAAATTTTCAAAATGCTAAAACCATTTTTTTTGGTGTTTCTTAAAAAGGTCTTTCATCAGAAGAGACTTATATGTCTGCAAAAAAATAATACAAATCGTGACAGTGACCCAAGCTACGAATCTGAGGAAAAAAATACCTTCCCATGTGAAGACAAGTACCTGTTTGATCACTTGATCAAACGGGTTCCTTGGGCTGTTCTTCATGGGTGGTTGTTATGACTGAGGCCTCCTGGTGCTGAGAGAAGCCACCTTAAGGTAACCAGTGCCTACTCCCAGACTCTTGGTACTTTTGAGACTATGTTTGTTTATCTTCCAAAATATAACATTAGAGAATGGTCCACCCAGGACACCTGTGCAAAGGCACTCAACTCTCCCTGGCAGAAGGTTATCTCTAAAGGATGCCACGAAATGGAGGGATTGATGGATCCAACTCTCTGCCCATAGCTCCTGCTCCTCCAAACACCTGCCATTTGCCTGAGCCAATCTGTAATAAGCAACAGGCATTCTTAATTCCTGGTATTATACATCATCAGGACTAACCTTGACATCTCGAAGACCAGAGACATCACGTGGAGTTCGAGAACAACTTCGACTCCGGGATATAGAAGAAGGTGGAAGGGATTCCTCCCGCTTTCTTTTCCTAGTGACGCTCCGAGATCTTCGTGCTTGAACTGCATAATGGGCCTAAATGTATAGAAAACAAATCTCAATGTAGAAACACAAGTAAAATTTGAAAATAAGGCATGAGAAACACAAGTAAAATAAGAAAACAAAGATGTTTCCTCCAAATGTCAACAATTCCACAGTGAATGACTTGAATGTGAGTGAAGTATGTGAAATCTCAAACAATGAACTCGAAAGAACAATAAGTGACTAGTGAAATTAAAGAGGACATGTATTAGCACCCAAATGAATATAAAGATACAACATACATACAAGAAAATGGAACTAGGAAACTTGAGGGGATCAAAGGAGTTAGGATAGATGGGGAAAGAATGATGGAAGGGGTGAAAATAACCAAGATGCTTTGTATATAAATTAACATGTTGAATCAAAATCCTTTTGCAAAGATCAATACAAAAAAAAAGGACTGCAAATAAAACATGTACGACCTCTGAGGACATCACAAAGACTGTAAATCATGATGTTGACAGGATAAAATTCCCCAATGACAGATTTCTCAGAATGTGTCTCCACTGTTAAGACTGTAGCTGAAACCAGTCTCACACACTTACATCTTCCTTATTGTCCATGTCAACACCAAGTCCACGCATCTCATTCTCCAAGTCTGCCCGCTGAACCTGAAAAACAACCAGAAGAAAACCACCTTGGCTTTTTCGTTTTGCTTCTTTGAAATAAGGTCTTGCTAGATGTAGGTCAGGATGCCGTGGAACAAACTATCCTCTGTCTCAGCCTCCCTAGAGCTGGGATTATAAGCATGTACTACCATGTCTGGCTCAAGAAACCTGTTTTAAAAGTGAAAATTAGTCTGATGAAATGTTAAGAAAAATTTAAGGGAAAATGTACATGTGATACTCATATATATTTTGGTTTTCATCTATAGTTTCTGCCTCATACCTCCAACAGTCCTTGTTATTTCCTAAATGTCTAGAATACTGAAGTTGAGGTATTTGGCCTTTAGTCCTTGGTTCCTGCAGCAGCTTTAGAAGTCAGAGGTAAAGCAATCTTTTGTTACTACTACAATGCTTCCAATCTCAAAAAAGTGTGGGATGGGAGGGGAAAACTGGGAGTGAAGGGAAGGGTGACAGTGTCCAAAAAGAAATATACTCTTTACCTGAATTCTGTAACCTGTCTGTACATCAACAACAAAAAGAACTCTTTGAGAACTCCTGCCTCCTCTCAACCATTCATTTTCCTCCTCAAGTAAACTATTCCTTATTTTTCCCAAGGAAGTTCATACAAATAAAAAATAAGCAAGGCACTGTAGAGCATGCTTGCAATCCCAATATTTGGGAAGCAGGGAGGATGATTTCTTGCTCAAAGCTGGCCCTGGTTACAAAGAGTTGGATGCCAGCCTGGGCTACATAGCAGAACTGTCTGAAAAAGCAGATTTAATCTAATCTTCCTCTCATGTTTGGCTTTGGAGCTGGACATCAAGAAATTTTCTATCGGGGTTGGGAAGGTGGCTCAGTGGTAAAGCGCTTGCCTTGCACGCCTGAGGCCCTGGGTTCGATTCCTCAGCTCCACATAAGCAAAAAGAAAAAAGCCGGAAGTGGCGCTGTGGCTCAAGTGGTAGAGTGCTAGCCTTGAGCTGAAGAGCTGAGGGACAGTGCCCAGGCCCAGAGTTCAGGCCCCACGACCAGACCCCCCTCCCCCCCCCCGCAATTTTCTATCATTTTAAGCTGTACAACTGCAAAATGCTTGAATTTACTTGTATTAGTGCTGACCTGGTAAGTGAAATCACCAGGAAAGGGCAATACTCCAGATAGAAAGTTATAGGTAAATCATCTTCTCCAAGTCAATAAACACCAACAAAGTATGTAAAATATTATACCCATGAACAGGCTGAAAGTTATGTTTAGAAATGATTTAGCTAAGAATCTAATTTGAAATGTAGAGGTTTTGACTTTACATAACATGAAACTTGCCTTCTTAGCAGTTCGAGGCATCCTGGGTCCCTGTGTATTCTTTTCTTTGGATTGCAGAATTTTCAACTTCTTTTTTTCTCTAATTTGTTTTGCCAATTCTCGGATTTCCATCATTTCCTCATCTTCACTTTCAGACTCACTGTCATACTCTCCAGCAGCTGTTTTTAGTTCTTCTTCCTTTTCTAACTCTTCCAGTTTCTTTAGAAAGAGTCATAATTAAATAAAGTTACAGAGTACAATTTCTAAACACATGGCAAAGTGTTTATGGGAAGGATGTTCCTCTACATCTTAGAAGATACAATAAAGCACAGTTTAGAAGACAGAAAAGCATTCTGTAACAAAAGGGATAAAAATCTGCACACAGGCAGCCTGTTGGTACCCATCCATGCCATTCTACTTTCTTCAAACTAAACTTCAGGAACATTGCAAACAGATATCTAATACCCAAACAAAATCTCACTAGCTAAGAAGTTAGTGAAAATGCTCTGTGTATATGTGTGTGCACGCATGTGCCCGGGCCAGCTTTAAAACACCATCCTCTTATCTCAGCTTCCTGAGTAGCTAGGATTTCAGGCAAGAGCCACCAACAGCAGGCAAAATGAAAAACTTGAAAGTATATTTATCTAAACAATACGAACAAATGTTCAACAACAGACAGATTGTGCCCATGTCCTGAGCATTGAAAACACTGAGGAATTAAGGCTGAGAGGGAATGGGCCTGTTCTGTACAGGCCGAGGAAATGTGGTGTGACACAGAGGAGATATGTTCATGAAGCAGAGCAGAAGACTTTAACAAAAAGAAGTGACATGACCACCCATGTCTGGAGGAGGAAGACAATCACATACACTAAGAAAAAGCAAATAGGGAGGAGAGCATGAGGCAGGAGAAAGATAGTAGTGACTGGTCAGAGTTCTAGTTAAGAATGGATCTGAAAACACAGATTCTTGGCCAAGAACTAATCCTGCCCCCCACCCACCCCGACCTTAGACTGGAAGGGTCAGTAGGCCATAGTAAAACTGGAGACCAGTTGATACCCGTGTCAATTTTCTTGATAAGATAATGTGGTGCAACCTGTTGGACTAGCAGAAGGAAACATGGGCAGGAAGTCTAATAGAAAAAGTCTAATAGAAAAATCTGAACTAGTGACAGGAGCTACGGCTCGGCACAGATGTCAGTGGGACTGATACATTACATTACAGGTCAGTGTGAAAACCGTAGGCATCTCCAAGACCAGGTGGGACAAGAGGAGTCAGTGGAACAAGTAACAGAACAAAGAGGTGGTGACAGAGGATCTCTCAGAGTGAGAACAGATCTCGTAGAACAGAGCATAGAAAACAAGTGGGGGAATGGAACTGGAGGTGCAACTCACACAGTAGAACATCTATGGAGCAAGAGCATGAGACTGAGTTTAAACACAGTACAAAAACCACAATTAAACAAAAAAGTACCAGAGATCTGTGTGTGTGTGTGGGGGGGGGGGGGGGGGGGGGGGGGAAGGGTGGTGGTGGTGGTGGGAGGAATGCTGAAAGCAATGGGAGCAGAAAGAGAAAGAAACAGGCTAGCAAAAGTTGTGCCTGTATCTTCAGTAGCTGTAAAAACAACATATAAAAAAAATCACAAAACATTAAATGTAATACAGACCTTCATGATTGCAGGATCAATATAATCAGCAACATTGTGTCCTTCCCAGATCTCTGGTATTTTATCATACTTCTCAGATGAATTCATTAAATCCCAGTATTCTAGAGTTAAAAAGTTATATTCATGGTAGTTTCTAATATCCTCAAGTGCCATGTGCCCAATATGAGTTATAACATGTCAAATCAAGTCCCTCTAGAAAGATACATAATTCTCAATGTTGCATAAGGTATTAACAATATCACAAACACGAGCTCAGCATAATCCCTTCATATAAAATCAACAAGGGGCTAGGAATGTGGTTTAGTGGTAGAGTGCTTGCCTAGAATGCATAGGGCCTTAGTTTTGATTCCTCAGTACCATATAAAGAAAAAATAAATAAAATTAATAAAATTAAAGTCAACAGAAAACAGCCTGAAAGACATTTAACAGAGCTCTATCAACATGAAACTTTAATCTCTAAGAACTCAAAACCTAACAAATATGCCAGAATTTTACTCATTACTGTAGGTAATGCAGGTAATCTGAGGGGATAGGTGGGGGTTAGGACAGAAGGGGTGTGTGTGTGTGTGTGTGTGTGTGTGTGTGTGGAATGATGGAAGGGGTAACATTGGAGCAAGGTGCATTATACTCATAAACTGACAAGTTGAATTGAAATCTCTTTGTACAACTAAAGATATTTTTAGAAAATAAAGAAATATTTAGGGCCGGGAAGGTGGCTCAGTGGTAGAGCGCTTGCGCTTGCCTTGCATGCATCAGGCCCTGGATTCCATTCCTCAGCACCACATAAGCAAAAAGTTGCTCGAAGTCGCGCTGTGGCTCAAGTGGTAGAGCGCTAGCCTTGAGTTGAAGAGCTGAGGGACAGTGCCCAGGCCCAGAGTTCAGGCCCCACGACCGGAGCCCCCACCCAAAAAAGAAATATTTAAACCCAAAAAGTTAAAAAAAGTCCTTTCTGAAACAGTTCAGATAAAACCGGCTTTGCACAATACTTATAACATCATAGTGCTTACTTTGAAGATCTAAAATATAATCATCTCCCATTTCCAGCTCAAGATCTCGTTCCTGCAATGGGGGAAAAATTTTTTTAATTAAATTACCTTTATTTCACTTTTTCATCCCCAACACCCTTCCCCTTCCTTTCCACACAGAAGTAATTAGTGCCTTCTCCATTTTTTTTCAGTATCTATTGGATTTCACTTCTATGTCTAAAAGGAAAACTGTCTTTAGGTTATATATCATCTATTAAAAAGCACCGTAAGAGCAAAGACTTTGGTGAGGAATTCACCTCCATGTCCTAGAACTGTACATGACCGAGTGCTCCTCAAGCATACTCTACGTGTGTCCACTGAGCCAGGACGCTGTCACTGTGGACTGCTCCCTCCCCATAAGAAACCCAGAAAAAGTTACAACAACATACCCTTTTCTTCTTGGGCTCCTCAACTTCCATTCTCTTCCTTCGAGCGACTACTCCTTCTGGGATGAAAGGAGGCCTCTCCTATGAAGATATTGGAAATACTTATGTGAGATGCTGTGATAAATGTAAAAATAACTTAAACCAAATAACTAGAAATAAATACTGTCTATAAGGGAATATAAAATCATATCCAGATTCACTTATAAAAATATGATCCAAAAAATTACACAATAAGAGCAATAACTGTAGATTTATTATGACGACATACTAAAACAGAAACCAGTATACATGAGAATTCAAAGAAAAGATAATCAGGGGGCCGGGAAGGTGGCTCAGTGGTAGAGCACTTGCCTTGCATGCATAAGGCCCTGGGTTCAATTCCTCAGCATCACATAAGCAAAAAGAAAAAGCCGGAAGTGGCGCTGTGGCTCTAGTGGTACAGCGCTAGCCTTGAGCTGAAGAGCTGAGGGACAGTGCCCAGGCCCAGAGTTCAGGCCCCACAGACCCAAAAAAGAAAAAAGAAAATATAATCAAAAACTCTGAGATAAATGAGTATCATTTGAAAACAAAGTTGCATAGCTATCTCTACTCTTCCTTTAGGACAAAATAAAGCAAAAACTTCCATCCCTTTTAGAGGGGTGTGTGTGTGTGTTGCATAGCTATCTCTACTCTTCCTTTAGGACAAAATAAAGGAAAAATTTCCATCCCTTTTAGGGTGTTTTAGGGTGTGTGTGTGTGTTTTAGGGTGTATGTGACAAAATAAAGGAAAAACTTCCATCCCTTTTAGGGGTGTGTGTGTGTGACAAAATAAAGGAAAAACTTCCATCCCTTTTACGGTGTGTGTGTGTGTGTAGGGTGTGTGTGTGTGTGTGTGTGTGTGTGTGTGTGGTGTGTGTGTGTGTGGTGTGTGTGTGTAGGGTGTGTGTGTGTGTAGGGTGTGTATGAGTGTGTGTAGGGTGTGTGTGTGTGTGTGTGTGCGTGTGTGTGCGTGCTATCCCTCCAGCTCAAGGCTAGCACTCTACCTCTTGAGCCACAGTAACACTTCTGGCCTTTTCTGCTTATATGTTGCTGAGGAATTGAACCCAAGGTCTCATGCATGTAAGGCAATCACTCTACCACTGAGCCACCTTCTTACCCTAGAGGTAATTTTTTTTTTTTTTGGTCCGGTCGTGGGGCCTGAACTCTGGGCCTGGGCGCTGTTCCTCAGCTCTTCAGCTCAAGGCTAGCACTCTACCTACTTGAGCCACGGCACCACTTCTGGATTTTTTTTCTTTTTTGCTTATGTGGTAGTGAGGAATGGAACCCACGGCCTCATGCATGCAAGGCAAGCGCTCTACCACTGAGCCACCTTCCCAGCCCCTAGAGGTAATTTTTTAAAAAGGACATAAATATGCAAGTACACAGGAAAAATACTTTTCTTTTTTCCTGATACTAGGGCTTGAACATGGTGCCTTGCAGTCTTGCTTTGCTCAAGGATGGTATTCTACCATCTTAGCCATACATGTACTTCTAGCTTTCTGCTGAAGAGTCGCTGAAGCCTGGCACCAGTGGTTCACTTTTGAGAGGTACTTGAGAAGATGAAACCTGAAAACTGAGGTTCAAAGCCACTCCTGGTCATGAAAGTCTGTGAGACTCTCATCTCCAATTAACCGCCAAGAAAGTCGAAGCTGTGGCTCGAGTGGTGGAGTGCTAACTTTGAGTAAAAAAGCTTAAGGATAATGCCCAGGCCCTGAGTTCAAGCTCCTGTACCAACACTCACATCTACAAACACCAGCACCCAGGCCAAATTCAAGCTTCAGTACCAACACACACTCACACAGTCATCTCTCTCTCCCAAGGATACAGACATAAATTTGCAATAACAATAGTACTCAGGTATAAATGTGCACTAACTATATAGCTAGTATAAATAAATTTTAAAAATGCTTTTATATCAAATAAAAACCACTTCTGAGAGGATCAATAGGCACGGTAAGTTAAATGTAACTGGTAAACTGAGAGGCAGGTTTAACCTAGCCTCTCCCTTCTTTAGTCTTTACCACATCCACAAATCCTATTATAAGAAACCGAAGTGTATGAGACTCATTTGGGTACATATGTAACTAGATTTGCAGCCCCAAGAACAGACATAGGGTTGCATTTACTGGCAATATAAGAACTGTACTCTGCCTCTCTTTTTTTTTCTTGGTGCATGTGAAGCAAGCATGATACTCCAGCTCTTTTGTTTTTCTCAAGGGTTTTATTAACTTTTCCACAGCTGGCCTCAAACTCATTATCCTGTCTACATTTCCCAAGAGGAAATGCTAGAATTAAGAATTACTGGCATGAACCACACCTGACTATAATAAATATAACTTAGAGGTACCCTCTGGAGGCCTTCTTACCTTATCATCTCTCTTGTTTGGTAGCGCTAAATGCAATCTGTTCAGCACCTCATTCACTTTATTTCCTTTCATTTTGGTTTCCACCCGATGAGCTAATAGTCTATCACAAGCCTGACGAAGTATAAAAGCAAGGCACATAGTCATAAAGACATACAACATTCCTGCCACACATTCCAAGGAAGGATCAGGTCAGCTTTGTTTGGAACTTAAGTGTACATTTTTCCACAAGTAATCATTCTGAGGAAGGCTTCTCTGAGAAGAACCACTCTTTGTAGGCCAAGGGCCAACCAAGACAAAATAATTAGGCAGTGCCCATGTCCCATGCTAGGCCTCATTCCCAAGATTAGTGACCCTCTTTGCAGAGTGCAGACTTGAGAGCTGTCTACCTGTCCTTCTGTACCTACATGTGACATCCCTGTGGGATAATGGCAACTTGAGCAATTTTCAGGTAAAAATAGTATGGAGGAATAGAAAACAAAGATGGCCTGTGAAACAAATTAGTCAAGCTGTTCCTGCCTTTCAGACTACTTCTATTTTTGAACAGATTCCATGAAAGATACACTCTTCTATAGTTGCTATGGAAAAGTTGCTATTAGAAAAGTCACAACAGTCCTTTAAATCTATTTCCTACAGTGAGAATTATAAATTACACTTGTCTTTCCTTATCCACTGGGGCCTTATCTATGGATACAAACATTCATAGATCAAAATTAATTGAAGAAAATCTTCACTACACACTATTCTTTCCTGTCATCACTCTCTTAAAATACAGAAAATCCTCACATCATTTACAATGCATAAGGTATCATGATAAGTATGATTTAAAGCATGTAGAAGTATGCACCCAAGATACATGAAATCATTATATCATTTTTTTATAAAAAGCCTAGCTTCTACAGATTTTGGCATCCACAGGCACAAGGGAGAGATAGCTTTGGAAACAATAACTGTTTCTCTCCAAATGCCACTGGGTAGGACAGGGCCTAAATGTTCTCTGTATCAGATTCTTCTTACGGTGTTGCACTCCTATCTGGCTATGTGAGCGTTTTGTAGCTTCTAAAATAAAAGTGATTTTCCCCATAACCTTTTCTATAACAAAAACCGTATTACTGCAGTTTGATTAAAGAAGTACTGACCTCTGTCTTAACTTGAATAACACCTTCCTCAGTCAGGGTGCTGGTCTCAATTACAGGGAATCCTTCAGCCTTCAAATCTATAAATATTTTCTGGGAATGCAAGAGAAAAATGAATTGTTCAACATCTTTAACTTATTTTTAATTGTTGAAGAGCAGACATCAGAAATTATTTTTTTCCTATACTTTTCTGTGATTAAAAAAAAAAAAAAAAAAAACATGTTGGGCATTGGTGGCTCACACCTAACTACTCAGGAGGCTGAGCTGGGGACTGAAGTTCAAAGCCAGTCAGGGAAGGAAAGTCTATGAGACTCTTATCCTCCAATTAACCACCAGAAAACCAGAAGTGGCATTGTGGCTCAAAGTGGTAGAGTCTCGTGAGGAAAAACGCAGAGAATGCGCACAGGCACAGTTCAAGTCAGATGACTGACAAAAAAATAAACAATGGTAAGTATCAAACCAGACTACAGTCAAATAAAATCTGAAGCTTTACACATGACATTTTTTTTTTTTTTGTAGGTCGTGGGGCTTGAACTCTGGGCCTGGGCGCTGTCCCTCAGCTCTTCAGCTCAAGGCGAGCGCTCTACCACTTGAGCTACAGCGCCACTTCTGGTTTTCTGGTGGTTTATTGGAGATCGGAGTCTCACGGTCTCTCCTGCCCGGGCTGGCTTTGGACCGTGATCCTCAGATCTCAGCCTCCTGAGTAGGTAGGATTACAGGCGTGAGCCACCAGCGCCCAGCTTTACACATGACATTTTATGTAATCTAATTTCCTAAAACAGAAATTCAAGCAAGATCATGATCATTTTTTCTTTTTCTGAGACCTTGCCGAATTACGTGGCCCACAAATCATGACCTAGTGCAGGATGGCTCTGATCTCATCATCATCTTCCCGCCTCAGCCTCCTAAGTATTAGGATCATAGGGCTGCAATCATGACCAGACAAGAACAGTTTTTAAAAATGTTCTCAATGCTATTTCTTACTTAAAAAAATTCCAGTCTCAGGGGCTGGGAAGGTGGCTCAGTGGTAGAGCACTTGCCTTGCATGCATGAGGCCCTGGGTTTGATTCCCAGCACCACATAAGCAAAAAGAAAAAAACCGGAAGTGGCGCTGTGGCTCAAGTGGTAGAGCGCTAGCCTTGAGCTGAAGAGCTGAGGGACAGCGCCCAGGCCCAGAGTTCAGGCCCCACGACCGGACCAAAAAAAAAAAAAAAAAAAATTCCAGTCTCTATAGCTCAACAGAATTACTTAGAAAACACACCAACAGTTAAAAGTCTAGAAACAAAGGATTTGGGTTGTGTGTTCTCTAATGCCCCATTTAGATCTAATCACACATGTGATCCTACTTCAGACAGGTAAACAAAGCATATTGAAGGCACTGATGAACAAGGTCTACTTCCATTACCACAGGGATCAAAACAGTGGCTTAGAGAAAACTAGGGTCTAAGCACCAATTCTGTTATCTAGCAACACATAACCAAGGAGTTAGCTAGTCCCTGAGCCTACTTGTGTATGTGATTAAGACTGTCATGTGCTATCAACCAGTGGTAAGTCACATTAGAAGGCTAATTAATAAAGCAGGCTCTAAAATAGTGTTGACTGAATAGTAAGATGGCATGCAATATGCACTTGCTTCCCAATCTCCTGAAATCTCAACAACAGATAATACAGGAATGGCATATACTATTAGGGCTTAGGTGACCAAGTGACCCCACTTTCCTACCACATTGGGGCAGTACCCCATGACATAGGCTTACCTTCACTGAACAAAGTGGGGTTTCAAAAGGATTACCTCACTTCCTTTCCACACAGCTGGTAAGTGAACAACTGGCATTTGAGCCTGTCTAACCTCAAAGCCTTGAGTTATCTGGTTTCCCACTTCACCTCTGGTGCTATTTATTCTCTTCTTAATCCTCCCATACATACTCTTTAGACCGAAAACCTGAGATTACTTAAAAATACAAATTATTATGTAAATAAGACATATTAATTCTCCAACATCAATGTTCAGATAATTAATAACTTAAAGAATGTCCTATAGTGCTCTGAGAAAAGTGATGTTTTTTTGAGATAGGGCTTTGCTATATTTAGCTCAGGCTGGCTTCAATCTCACAATCTTCCTGCCTTAGTCCCCCAAATGCACCTCACCAAGCACAACTATTTAAGATATGCCAATCCTTATGAATCCAATATATTCAAAGAGAACAAGATACTAAGCAGGAAACAACATTCTCTTGCCATTTCAGTACATTCTACTTCCACTTGGATTAAAGAAGACTATTCCAGAAGATATAGCAGAACTATTTACTGTTCCACTGTGATGGTTCTCATATCTCAAGTACATATCCAATGCTCTGAAAGACCTGTTCTAACTCAGACTGCCACCAAACCCCGAGGTTTTTGGAGTCAGTGGTTAGGCTCAAGTGCTCAAGAATTCACTTTTCTGGCCAGGCGCCGATGGCATCATGCCTATAATCTTAGCTACTCAGGAGGCTGAGATCTGAGGATCACGGTCCAAAGCCAGCCTGGGCAGGAAAATCCATGAGACTCTTATCTCCAATTAACCACCAGAAAACTGGAAGTGAACTGTGGCTCAAGTGGTAGAGTGCTTGCCTTGAGCTGAAGAGCGCAGGGACAGCGCCCAAGCCCAGAGTTCAAGCCCCATGACTGACCAAAAAAAAAAAAAAAAGAAGAATGTAGTATAATTTACCTGATCATCTTCAGAAAGTTCAGCTATTCGCCTCACGTCACACTTGTTCGCTACAACTATAAGAGGCTAGCAAGAAAGAAAATAATGATTATTTTCACAAAGAAATATATTTAATCCTCCCTGCTTTCTGTAATTTCACTTATGAAGATCAAGTATGGTTTGGAATTATTAAATGAAAAATTCCAGAAATACATCATTTGTAACTTTTAAGCTGTGCATTATTCTGAATAGTGCAATGGAAACTGTGTGTCTTCCTGTCTATCAATGATGCAACTCATTGCTTTGTCCAGCTTTTTTATTCTCTTTATATTACCAGTTAGTCAGTCACTTGTTAGTTATCAGATTTACTGTTATAGGGCCAATATCATGTTCAAATAATAGCTAGAGTTCAGTACTACCTGGTTTCTGGCATCCACAGGAGAATTTTGCAACACATTACTAGCAGATAAACTACCATGTAATTATTAAAGTATTAGTTACCACACTTACTTTGTTGACAAAGAGAGGTCTGATATTCTGGAAGAGTTCTACTTGCTCCTTTAAACCATGTCCACACTGCTCAGACAAATCCATCACATACAGGACCGCAGCTCGGAGGTGGGCCAAAGCTGTGATAGCCTGCATTTCGATGGTGTTCCGATCCTCCAGAGGATGATCCAAAATGCCTGGAGTATCTACTACCTAATGACAGGACTCATTACTCTAAAGTACACTTTTTCACAAACTTCTTGTCTTGTAAGTCACCCTGCTACAACAAAACAGACCTGACAACACTACGAAATAAAATATGGCTCTCTGAGAGACCCTAAACAACTCATTAAAATGCTTGTCAACGACTTTCAGAAAAATGACTCCATTTTCCATTAGTGACTGAGATAACTGGTAATCTCTGTCAGATCTTAAGTATTATGTTTTCATCACTTAAAGTTAAATTGTGGAAATAAGATTACTTCATCCTTCATTCCTAATGACAAAAATGAAAACTGCAAAGAGAATTTCATTTTGTTAGAGGCTAAAGAAATGGAATCATAGCAGAGGAAATCCACATTGGCAGTTGCCTTTTCCTTATTATTTCTTTTTTTTTTTTTGGGTCCGGTCATGGGGCCTGAACTCTGGGCCTGGGCACTGTCCCTCAGCTCTTCAGCTCAAGGCGAACCCTCTACCACTTGAGCCACAGTGCCACTTCTGGCTTTTTTCTTTTTGCTTATGTGGTGCTGAGGAATTGAACCCAGGGCCTCATGCATGCAAAGCAAGCGCTCTACCATTGAGTCACCTTCCCAGCCCCTCCTTATTATTTCAAACTGTCTTCAGCCATCCACAAAGCTCAGGTGAGCTTTCCTTATGGTGGTACATGAATTTCATGTTTGTGGTAATGCCAGAGAATCTATTTTCCCCACTATTCAGACTCCCCCCTTGGGGATGCTGCCTGACACTTTACTAAGGAGCATTATATGGTTGAAATTCATTGTACTCTTTTAGAAATCATCAAATTTCATGAAACAGAAACTGAGAAACTTGTTCTAGGTTTAAAGATAAGACTCTTACCTGCCAACGAAGATACTTATAATCCATGTGCCCAACAAACAGAGACTTGGTGGTAAATGCATAAGGCTGAACATCCACATCTGCTCTCGTAACCTTGAAACAAAATGATACTTGATGATGGAAATTTCACATATTATTTCCTCTTAATGTTAACTGGTATTATTATCAACATTATCAATATAATATTAGTATATTATCAAGACTGATTTTTGCTAAGCATGAAGGTATAGGCAGTGATAGTTCCAACTATGGAAAGGGTGAAGCAGGAGGATTGTAAGCTCAAGGCTAGCTTTGAGATAACAATAGCTAGGTAGAGCATTTACTTATCTAGCATGTGTAAAGCTGTAGGTTCAATGCCTATAGTACCATATGATTAGATAGATTGATAGATAATGATAAATAAGGAGGGAAGGGGATAAAAAAAAAAGGAAGAAAAAAACAAAGGCTTCTGTAACAGCATGTTAAATCTAGCTTTAGACAAGTTAAATATTCCTGAGAACATAGGTGCTCAGTTATCAAATCCTCCAGAAGACTAGGGTGATTTACTAGTTAGCCAGACAACACTGTAACCCCGTACTCCCTTATCTCAAAGTAAGAATATTCTGACTTAAGATAATCAACATGTAATAAAGGCAGACCTACCTTATTGATGAAGCTGGACTTCCCAACATTAGGGTACCCACACAAAAGCAGAGTCCTTGTATTTGGATCAATCGTTGGCAAGCGGGATAAATGCTGGCGTACTATGAAAATGTTTAAATTCAAACATTAAAACTCGTAATTTGCTTGATTTTTTCCAATTTAGTTAAGCTCCAGATTTATGGTTACATATAATTGCACTCCAGTTTTTATAATGCAAAAGTGTTGAATAAGTATATATGAATGAAAAAGGGAACAATAACAGAGACTATGGCATATACTTGTACATACAATAGTATTTCCTGAATGTGGCTATACAATCCTATTTTTACCTGCCATAGATATTTTGGTTCCAGAAGTCAGTGGTGAGGCCAAAACCACAGGGCTAATAAGATTCTCAGATGACTCTTGTCATGTTAAGATTATTTAGATGACCATGTATTTTGAAGCAAACACACCCTAGGCCTTAGGGCTACAACACTGGCTATTACCATTTACTAGCTCATCTACAGGCAAACACACGTACTCACACACCATAAACCTTTTAAGAAACAATGAAAGGGGGGAGGGGCAAAAATGAACAAGTAAAAATGACACATTTGAGAAGGTGTGAAATTTTCTACAATTCAGAAATTGTCCTCTTAAAAATTCATATAAAAATGTCAATAGGTAAACTAGCAAACCATTTTATTTTTGTATTTTTCTCAATGTTTCCCCAAGATTCAGGTCTGTGCCTTACCTATTCAATACTAAATGTCACACATTTTCTAAACAATATTTCAATGATTATTTTCAACAATAATTAGCCTATTAGAATTTCTGATGAGTTAGGCTAGGAAAAATAATTTGATCATATCTAAAATAAAATCAACCTCACAAGTACCTTGTTCCAAATATTCCAAACTCTGTTTCTGTCTCTTGATAATAGTGCACATTCGCCCCAGGGCAGCACGCTTCAGTTGCTTGCAGCGGTATAGAGAGTCACCATATTTCATGAGCCGCACGTAATCTTTAGCAACACTTAAAAAAATAAAAATATCTTGTTTTATTTTTCACTGTTGACAGTAACTTAAAAGACACTATGTTAAGAAAATACCTTACTTGTCTACTAAATTTTTGGCAATATTTATTTGTCCCAGAGCCAACTTGTAATGATCCTTATCATAGAGAATGTTCATCAAATCTGCGTAAAATGGATGGATGTCCTGTAACAAACAAAACACAGCAATTACTTTGGTTCAACAGATTCTTATCCTTTTGTAAATAACAGAATAATTTTTATCCTCTCCTCAAACCTGCAGCTTCACTGCAGTCCTCTCTTGGACAATGACCCCGCTGACTTACTCCTCTAAGAAAATAGAAGTTATGAGCAGAAAGGCTACAGTCCCTTCTACTGGCCCTAACCTTCATCTGCTATAGTAATAGAGCCATAGATTAACTTAGCCAAGACCAGCCATCCCCATACACACTAGATCCCACTCTCTGCTTCTCCTCAGGAATTCCAAAAATTCTTCTCTTTATCTGACCATCTCTACCAGCTTATAAACATGTTGCCATTTTCCAAACCTTTAGAAAATATTTTAAAATGAAAACACTGCTGATTCCATAATCCTTACATCTCTTACGCCACTTCTTGTTCCTTCTGGCAAATGCTGGGAAAGAATCTTTTATCTCTCCTCCCTTCCTTCTCTTGAGTCCATTCTCATGAAAACTTCGTGGTCTTCTCCTGAGCCCTCCTAAACAGCACTGTTTCTGCATCTCACTCTTAGGTTATGTGATCCTGGTAAGATTTTTCAACACTTTAGAAAAATTCTATTTCTAAGTCTCTAGGCCTGGATCTCTCATGAGCTTTAGCATTTCTAAAGTGTCTTATGCCTATCTCCTGATGGCATATATACTGGACTCAAAGCTACTTTGTTCTCAAACCTTGCTCCTTAGTGGGACAAAGCTTGGTGAGTGGAACACCGAGAATGTCAAAGTCTTCTCTAATCTTTCCCATAGAAAAAATTACCTATCTCCTAACAATCACCACTATCATTTAAACCATCATGATCTTTCAATCATTGGGAAAACCATGGCACTGACCTCCCAAGGGCTCTTTAAGCTGCTAAAGGACAGGCATTATATAAAAATAAGTAAAAATCCTTAAAGTCCTCCTTAAGAATATACTTCAAGCAAGCATCAGGGGCTCATACCCATAATCCTAGCTCCTTGAAAGGCTGAGATTGGGAAGATAGCAGTATAGGCTAATACACACAACTGACAACAGTTAGGCCCAGTAGGATGCACCTGTCACCCTAGCTTAATAGGAAGATGAGAAAAGAGGAATGGCAGCTCCAGGCGCACAGACAAGTGCACGACACTCCATTTCAACAAAAGCTGTATGCACAGTGGTGCTCACTCGTCATCCCAGATGTGACTGGAAGACTAAAATAGGTCAATTACAGTACAGGGGTATGCCTGGATAGGAACAAAGACCCTATCTCAAAAATAACCAGCATAACCAGGCACCATGCTTATAATCCTAGCTACTGAGATCTGAGGACCAAGGTTCAAAGTCAGCCTAGGAAGGAAAGTCCGTGAGATTCTTATCTCCAATTAACTACTAAAAAGCCAGAAATGGTGCTTTAGTTTAGGTGGCAGAACCCTAACCTTGAGTAAAAAAGCTCAGGGTCAGTACCCAGACCCTGAGTTCAAGCCCTAGAACTGGCACTCAGGTACACTGCACAAAACCAGCGCAAAAAGGGCTGGAGGTATGGCTTGGCAGTAGAGCACATGCCTCAGGTCTTGGGCTCAGACCCCAGTACTGAAAAATAAAAAAATTAACTATATACTTCAGAGTCCTACCCAAGTGATCTGGCCCCATCTGACAGCTTACACTGATTTACATGTACTTAACCATCTGTGTCCCCCAGAGTCACATACATCCAATTTGGGGAAATCCGTTAGAATCTGTGATAATCTGTCATGGTAGTTCTGTTGAGTAAATTTGACTTTTCTCATATAAAAATGTCTTATGCGATGGATTTGGTAATGTTTATGAATAACTGTTGGAGTCTTCCGTTGAGTCTTTGACAATGTGAGGTCGATGAAGTCCTGCAATAGAAAAAATATTAAGACACAATTGTTTCTACTCACTTGCTTAAAACATTCCTAAACCACTGATTATCTAATAGTACTACACATCTTAAATTAGAAAATTTACTTTTCCTAACTAAAACATTCCCTTTTTATAGTCTCTGATCTAATGGTTGTTAAAATAAACTTATCCCAAATTTTCAAATACTTAAGAATATTCCTAACTCAAGTATAAGAAAAAACACACAATCCCACAATCTTATGCATAGCTTTAATTTAAATAATTTGATGAAATGATGAATTAAAACCCACTACTTAAAATTTCTGTGGGTATCTGAGGCAACAAAGGACTTGAAAGATTTCTGCATGCATTCCCCAGTGCCTGCTTCTTTTTAATAAGAACTCATTCCATGCTTTCTCAATCCCACTACCTAGTCATATAAAATTACTTGAATTTGACTAGGTGCAGATGGCCCATACTTGTAACCAATCCTCACTACTCTGGAGGCTTGAATACCAGCCTGGGCAGGAAAGTCCCTAAGACTCTTATCTTCAATTAACCACAAAAACCAAAGTGGAGCTGTGGCTAAAGTGGAAGAGTGCTAGCCTCGAGTACAAAAACTCAGTGACAGCGTCTAGGCACAGAGTTCAATTCCCAGGACCAGAAATGGACTAGAATGTCCATTGAACAAAACAATACTGGCCATTTTTTACAACTCATAAGAAAAGGTGTTGAATGGAGGGGGTAACAATGCTCAATAGGAAGTGTACTCATTACCTTGCTCATGTAACTGTAACCCTCTGTATAGCATCTTTACAATAAAAAATTAAGAAAAAAAGAAAAGGTGTTGAAGACAAAATAATGAAAAAGATACTCTTTTTCAAGGAACTTAGAATTGAGTGCCATAAAAAAGTAAACAAGTGATTACAATTGGTGTTCATATCTCCATCAGTAAACTTGAGAGCTCTTCCAATCTTCTACCAAAAGTTTTCAGTAGCATAATACTTGGAGTAGAATCTACACAAATCATAACATATTACTTGTAATAATACAGGAGTGTCAGAAGTGTTTCTGATCTGTGGTTGGTTCAATACATGGATCTGGAATCCATTGATAGTGACAGCTGACTGCATATTCCTCCGTTATAACTATTTCCTTACTTCGATTTTGTTTACCTGTTTCTATCCCTCTAGAAGGTATTTTTAAACCCACACTACCTGGCACACACATCAGTCACTCAATAGCATTTGCAACAAACTGGGTCCTGTACTTAACTCCTCTGTTCTCTAGAAATAGACCTTACTTCAATAAATGTTATCCAAATACATTCCCACAAAGCCAATTATACGAACAATTCATATGATCCAAACCTGTGTTTGAATTCCTTCAACAATGAAGGAATTACATGAAGACCAAGAAAAACATGTAAGACCTGATTCCTCACAAATGCTACAATCTAGTGAGACATGTAACAAATTGTCAGGAAGGAGGGGAAAAAGCGAGAGATGGGTAAACAAAAGGAGGAAACAATTTCGTATGTTATGAATGCAAAATACTAGATCTTGGCAAACCCTTGCAGAGAAAGCGTAGGCTACTCATAAGAAGGGGAAAGGAGGCATTGAAAAATATCCCCAAGGAAGCAGGTATAACCACAGCGATTCTTTCTCAGGACTGGTCCTCCCGTGAATCTTGCCCCAAGAGACCCGTTTCTGGACAAGCGCTTAAGATCCCTTGGGCTGGCTAACGTTACAAGAACTTTAACCTGGCCGACTTTACCTCGCTGTATCTGAAAACTCAGTCTCAGAGGTGACAGCCAACTCAGAATCCGAAGGCAGAGGCCGCGCTCACGCCGGCCCCCGCGGGCTTCCCTCCCTCCGCGCACGCCGGGGTGACCACCGCCCGTCCGGCCACTTCGGGGGTCCACACACGGCCCCTCCCGCGAGTCCCTCGTGTGGGGAGGGCTCGGGGGTCGGCAGACTGGCGGTGCGGGAGTGTCAGGCCCCCACAGCGCGTGGGCCCCGGGCAGGCCTGAGCGGGCGCCTTCCTCCTCACCCTCCGACTTACAAGTCTGGGCCCTCCCTGACCACCTGACCAAGACGAAGGGTGAGAGGTGGGGAGCCCCCTCACTGCCCTCTCCTACCTTGGCGGACGGCACCACCGTAATCTTCTTGAAGTTGTAGTGCGCCATGCTGCCGGCGAACTCCACGCGGAGACTCGGCGACACGGAGGACCGGATTTCCGCTGCCGGCGGTGGGTGGGACTTCCGCCGTGGCGTGCGAACGGGATTTCCGCAGCCTGGCGTGGGCCTCGCGTCATTTCCGGGAAGTCTGTCGAGCGCCCGCGCTGGACGGGACTCCCTGGAGTCTTCTCCCACAGCGTCCCCGCCCGGCAGGGAGGTGGACTTCCGAGGTCTTAACCCTTGAAACCAGTTGACCCGGGTCGTTCCGGGAGAGGAACGACATATTTGAGGCCTGGAGAGGTTAAATCCCTTGGCGGGGCACTGAACAGGCCGGCCTGAGTTGAGGCCCCGGGAACCCCGGGCTCCTCGGGCTCGCGCTCCCGGGATGGCGCGGTGGTCCCGATGCGGAAGCCGGCGCGCGGGGCTCTGGCGCCCGGTGTCACCGCTGGCCGCTGCGGGCTTGCGGGCAGGCCGTGTGGAAAGCGGTGCAGTGTTGTTGAAATACTGTTGACCCAGAGACGGCCTGTGGATCGGGGGAGTGGGGGGGCGGCGCGAGGGAGAGCGTGCTGTCTCTGCGCCAGCCGGCGGCCTTCCCCGCAGGTGCGTGGCCTGTGCAACAGACAGGAGTAGATTTTTCCCCGCACAACGGCACCGGAAGAGCACCCCCCCCCCCCGCCGACTTCTCTCCACCACCCCCCACCCCCAACCCGGGGCAGGGACAGAAGGGCGAAGCCCTTGACCAGTAGGGGCTCGCAATACAAGTGGAGGAGTGGAGGTCCCCGGCTCTTCCTTCTGCCAGTTTAAAGTAGCCACCTATTTTCTTATCATCTTTGCCTCACGATTCCATCTCCCCCCCCCCCCCCCACGGAGACGGAAATCTACTTTATACCATCTTAACCTTTACCGTGTGTGACCGACTCTTTAAACTCGCTGACCTTTCCTCAGGCATTTCTGTCTCCTTCAAACATTCCTCTATTCCTGTGACGTCTGTTCTAGCTACCATGTCTAGATTTTATTCTTCTTTGCTAACTTAATTTCCTATTACTTCTTTTTAGTTGTAGCTATTCCTCAAGATTTTTTTTCCTCCACCCTTTGATTTCCTTTCTGAAACTATGTTTACTTTTTCTGAATAGTGGCTGCACAAACACAACATTAATGACTGAGGAAATAGGCTTTTCTAGCCTACTATTTCAAATACAATGTAACGCTTTCAATCAATTGAGGGATTTCTAACTACCAGTATAAGTCCAGCTATGTCAGTGCTATGTATCTCAAAATCAAAACTATTACCTCCTACTCTTTGTAAATGAGCTGTACTGTTGGACCAAGCAGGCCACACCTGACTCCCACTGAGACTTCAGAACAGGATGGGGGCACAGAGCCAAGATCAGGGTAACTACCTGAAGTGGATGGTGATGCAAAGAAGAGCAGACAGGCATCTAGGGGTGAAGGTAAGATCAGGAGCCCAAGAAGGACCCAAAGAAGTGTTAAATTCCAAGAACAGAACAGAGAAGGGGCTGATGTGGTGCTAAGATTAGAGACTGGCTTCTTATCCAACCCTCCAAGGACACAGCTGTAAGTAGCAGACAAGACTAGACCCAGCTGAGGCCTCGTGTCCTTTCTGTTATCTCATAAATGCAATCATTCATATACACAGTAGGCACAGGAGGTACACAATTCTCATACACTTCTATAAACTTTAAATAGCTGTGACTCTGGTTTGTGCAATGCAGTTGAGATCTACCTTTTCACATAGAAGAGGTGCACTCATTAAAGGAAACAAAGGGCTGGGAATGTGGCTTAGAGGTAGAACACTTGCCTAGCATGGATCATGAAGCCCTACGTAAGTACTACATAAACAGTACGTAAACAGTACTACATAAACAGTACATCAGTACTACATAAACAGAAAAAGACGGAAGTGGTACTGTAGCTCAAATGGTAGAGTGCTAGGCCTTGAGCAAAAGTAATTCAGGGACAGTGACCAGTGCCTGAGTTCAAGCCCCAGGGCTAGCAAATAAAAGCAACAAAAAGTAACCTTGACAGAGAAAGTATATTAATATTAATGTCAGAAATCCTATTAAATAACTGACACATCTTAATACTTTCACCCTTTTCCCAAATATTCAAGCTTGTATTTGCTTAAAGAACCTAAAATCTGTTTTCTAAACAACCTGAATTATGATAGAAACTCCAAGCCCAGGGTCCAACTGGATCGAATCACTTAATTCCTTTGAGCTTGTTTCCTCTTTTGCAAAATGGAAGACATTGTATTTATCCCTAATGGATTGTTTGTGTCAGCCAAGAAAGATATGAATGCAAAAAAGGTAGAAATTCCAGGTGCTGCTGGCTCACACATGTAATCCTAGCTACCGAGGAGGCTGAGATCTGAGAATGACAGTTAAAAGCCAGCCAGGTCAGGAAAGTGTGTGTGACTCTTTATCTCCAATTAACCACCAGAAAACAGGAAGTGGTACTATGGCTCAAAGTGGTAGAATGCTTGCCTTGAGCAAATGAGCTCAGGGATTGCACCCAGGCCCTGAGTTCAAGCCCCACAGCTGAAAGAGAAAAAAAAAAGGTACAAGTGTGAGAAGAAGCCATGAACTGAGAACCGATAATGTAATGACTACCATTGATAAGATTTTATTCCAAAAAAAAAAAAGATTTTATTCCCCCCCTTTTTGGGGAGTCAAAAATATAATAAATGTCTAGTTTCTTATGAGAGATCCTTAGTTTCCACAAATGCCAACAGTCATCTCTTTAAAGTTTTTGTGACACTAAGGGGAAACTGAATAAAGTCTCCAACTTGTTTTAAGTTACTTGCTTTTAATTGACTTTAAAAATCACTAATTTTGGAGGTCAAGCAATTGAGCAACATATTAACCTACCAGTAGCTTTGCTGTACATAGCAACCTTGATATGTGAGTCATGATGATAATGATTGCCCAAATTACTTTTCAGAGACTTAAAGGCCACTTTGGATGAACTCACTGATTCTTTACTTGGATGTTCTCAAGTGTCCATTTATGACCCTTTGATGTCAGAAAGCTACAATTTCCCTCCTCAGAACCATCATAATGCCACCATTTTCAGATTGTATCCTATGAAGATTGATCATTTATGTATAGACAACTGATTATTTCTGGTGGACTCACTGTTCATTTGAGGGCTTTAAATTACCCTCCTAACCCCTCTCTTGGGTGAAATGGATTCCAGATTTAGGTCACCCATCTTCTTACCCTTGGCATTTTATGAATAAAACTTTTGGGGGGTAAAATCATTTCAACAATTGGCATGCTGTACATCAGGCATAACAGGTCTGATTCAGTAACACATGGGCATATAGAACCTAAGGTATTTACTAACTTTTCAAGGGATAACAACTAGCACATGACAAGAGAAATAAAATACCACCTGTTTGTGTGTCTGTGAGCATGAAGTTAGAAAAGAAGGGATGGGAAAATGAGACTGTTTAAGTTATTTAGCTATAGAGGATGCCTATGAATGCACAAGTATGACTTTTCATAGACCAGTGATATAGCATCAATGATTAGGTATACTACCTGCATGTTGGTGAAAATTACTTCTCTTCTCTCTTCTGCTTGTGTTTTTCTAGCTCACTAGTAGCTTCTTGTGGGTAGATGTGTGATTCAGAGTAATGAGAATGAGTTTCGCCATGAATTTGGTCTCTGGGGAAACCAACTTGTCAAGGGCCCTTTTTGAGAAGAGCTGGGAAAGCCACCTGCAACAGAAGTCAAATAACCAGTTCTGTATCATGACATGCAAGTTTCCAGTTACTAGGAATCAGCATATGTGCCTTATGACAGAGGTAAGCTCAGGCTACAGTGAAGGACTTTCTTGAGGGTCTTCTAAGCTTCTGACTGCAAAACACTTCATGGTAAAAACCCTTACTTTTCATCCTATCTTATGTCGTGGGGTTGGTCTCTTCTGTTTTGCTTTGTTGTTGTTGTAATTCTGACTAATGAAAAGTACATCTTGCAACAGAGTCTATGCCAGGAAAATGTGACAAAATTTCTTTCTTAAAAGGAACCTTTGTATAAAGATTAGCCATAGGTAGCTGTCCAGTCTTAGAAGTTGTTTGGAGTGGCCCAGGTTGCCTATAGTTTACTAGATCTTCTTAGCAATTGTGTTCTGGTAATTCATTCAGCATAAATGAGATGTTGCTTTGTAATACCTAAGTGTTGTTTTCTATATGTGTCATTTCCAGAAGACACAGCCAGCTCTTCAAGGTCAGGGATGGGTTCTCTTAGTCATTAATTGAAGTGAGCAGCATGTACAATGACCATAGGACTCCAGTGACTGAAAGCTGGGGTGAGTGCAGCTGATACTAGAACATTTGGAATTTGTGGTTTCTTCTTCTTCAAGTTGTCTTATGAGTTTATGATGCTGTTGTTGAACCCCCTGTGCACAGTCCTGAAATAAATCAGAACTCGAAACTACCACAGGAGAAAACCTGAGTGCCGGGGCTGGGAAGGTAGCTCAGTGGTAGCGCGCTTGCCTTGCATGCATGAGGCCCTGGGTTCAATTCCTCAGCACCACATAAGCAAAAATTAAAAAAAGCCAGAAGTGGTGCTGTGGCTCAAGTGGTAGAGCGCTAGCCTTGAGCTGAAGAGCTGAGGGACAGCGTCCAGGCCCTGAGTGCAGGCCCCATGACTGGACCCCCCTCCCCAAAAAAAGAAAACCTGAGTGCCCTCCAGCTTAAAGCTGGCTGGGACCTATCTCAGGGAGGGTGCCCTGAACCGGAGGCATTTTTGACTCCAGTACTTGGAAGGGAGGGAAGAAGGTGTGGAGGGGCTTCAGCTTGAATCCTTTGAGGTAGACTTCTCAAATGGGCTGCATTCAGTAAACTGTCAATCCACCTCTCTACAGCACCTTTGTAGACCCAGAACCTTTGGAACAGTACAGATGACCAGGTGTGCACACTCCAAACAGCTAAGATCCACCCAGCAGTGTTGCTTCTGACTCTTGACCCTGATCTCTGTCCTAAATTAAGGCTTCAGCTTCTTGGCAAGGGGCCATAAGTTGAATCTACACAATTTAGGCCTGT